CCCTGTTTCAGACCCAGCCGGAAGAGAAATTTCACGTCTTCAGATGGCTAAAACGCGGCGAAGAAAAAAAAAACGATATGCAATTTTTATTTCGGCTTCCAAATCATGATCTCGCGTAGATTCTATCAAGCAAATGAAAACATACCTGTTATATACGCTTTAAACGTGTCGAGAATTTGCCACGAAAACACTTGCTCTACTCTCCTTGTTTCCAAAAGGCTACGATAGGATGCAGCGTGGCCGAGTTGCAAAGGCACCGGACTTGAAATGCAGAGGCCACGAGTTCAGGTCCCGCTCTGACCACTAAGTTGAGTGGTCTCTCGGTAGACCCTAGTTCAACTCCTCGGTCATGCTAACAAATAGCGAACTAGTCTGCCTCACGCCAGTTAGCATGTTTAAGCCTATTATGTTAATTTGAAATGTTTCTTTCTTTCAGTTTAGTTAGCATGCCTGAGAACTAGCTAGTTGTAGCTAAGTACATCGACGACTTTTCATTCAACCACAGGTGAGACTACAATATAATACACATTATAATTACTCACCATCTTGCTCAGTACGAACAAACACAGGTTCAGAAAAATTCCCCAAACCAGCTACTGTCGATCCGGCTACTTGGATGATGTATTCCTTATACTTCCCTAATCCCTCCACTTCTGCATGGAGGCTGGTGCTGTTTACCGTTACCACGGAGATAGTATCGTTTGCTTTATCGTGTCTCCAATATCTTACGTGATATCCTAGGAGAATTCCATTCCTGTGGTCTAAAGGGATAGGCTGCCACGTGACATTAACACTTGTGGAGCTAGTGTTGCACGCGGTTACGTTTGACGGAGGATGATCTGGTACTGAAGATGTCGAGGGAAAAAAATAATGGCCGTAGATAAGAGAGAGACGAATATGCAAATCATGTATGAATTGAAGTAATATATCAAACACGAAAGACCGTAGTTGAACACATTTTCAAACACCGAGAAGAGAGTTCAAAATGAGACGCGTAGCGGAGTATTTTTGAGGTACACCGAGGTGTTTGGAAATGTGGTCAAACATTGTCTTGAGTATTTAATGTATCTTCTCAATCGAAACTTAAATTAAGGAGAAAATGGAGAATCAAAATCATCAAAATCTAAGTTAGTTAAGATCAGATATCCAAACCCGTCATGGTCATGATTTCTTGTTTTTAACTTGATGAGTTATTAACGAGTTTGAGAAGTAATCTACAAAACACTAAAGATTTCTTTAGTACAGTGAACATAGTTTCATTCTAAGTTGCATGTATATCTGCTAGTCTATGAAATGGTGTGTCATACCGTCCGCTGCGGTGGTGAAGTTTGCCGCCAATGTGGGAACGCCATCTTTCACAGTAAATGCCAACACAGTGACTGTATACGAGGTGTACGCCTTTAAACCCTCCAGGTTAAAGGTAACTTGTTCGTCCTCAATGCTTCTTTTCCTGCGCTTGGTTTGAGTTACATTGATAACGAAGGTCTTCCAAGGCTCATTTGGAGATAGGCTTTCTCGATAATTTCCTTTATACCCTCGGAGTCGCCCGTTGATATGATATTTATCTACTGGCTCCAGTCGGAATGTTAATTCTGAGCTGCCGGTGTGTTGGACACTGAGGTTTTTAGGAGACTCGCTGGGAGCTGTGGTATTAAACAAAAATAATAAACTACATTAACAGAAAGCAAAATGAAAGTGATTCCGGTCTTTCACTAAATGGGACAAGCTCCTTGGGAGCCGTGAACATTTTAATGTATTGGACTCAGTTGCGCAACGCAGCGTAAATAGAAGAGTTTGTATAGGACTGTAACGATCGCTTATTCAGAATATGGTGAAGACATTCAATTAGAACTATTTACGTCGACACTTTTGTGTGCTTCCGGTGTTTTCGTGACGTTTTGAGGCCGTTTCAAAGTGATTTCAGCGATTTTTTTTTTGTATATCTATTTTTCTCTCTATATAATTATCGTTCCTCGACGTACCTGTAGGCAACACGAGTGGTGAAGCCCAGCATGTTTACCTAAGGAAAACAGCCGTAAATTCTTCCCAAAAGGATATTACTTTGTTGGCAAAATACAGACCAAAACTGTCTAAAATATTGTAAAAGATATCAACAAATTAAACTGTAAAAGTTTTATCACAGCACACCAACGTATTATCTAAATACTAGACTATTTAGGTGAAATGTATAAATATCATTATTATTTTTGTATTTACGTGAAATAGATGAACGTCTAAAAGGATTACATTTTCGCCCAGCCCATTTTGGAAGTTAATGAAAATAAGAAAAGCTGGGAACACGAATCAACTCAGATCCTCGAAAATTGTTTAAAAAAAAAGGAAAAGTAAAAAGCTTTATTAATGTGTCAATGTATTTAGTTTTCACAACTAATTGGGGACAAAAAAAAAATTAAAATTATTGTTACAGTCGTTTTGTCCAGTTGCCGTCAAAAGGAGGACTATCATGGGATTTCCTCCATTTGGGAGTCAAATGGCACAAAATTGTGACTAAGTACCTCTATTCGGACATAATATACCCTTTCCCCCAGACCACCAAGGTGAAAACACTAAATAACTACAATGGAACCCCGTTGATATGGACACCAAAGGGACATGATAAAGTGTCCGCATTATCTGGGTGTCCGTATTAAGCGGGTTAATTTAAGCGAATATACATGAGCTTTTTAGTCGTCGGGACAAAGAAAACTGTCCGTTATAAGCGTGGAGAGGGGTTTCACTGTAGGCCATTTCAAAACGAGTCCCCGTGCAAAACCTTTCATATGAAAAAAAGCTTGCGTGAATCTGTAGTGTGAACACATTTTCGTATGAATGGTTTCGCGCGAAGACTCGTTTTGACACAGAGGCAAAAGGCAACTCGGAATTGGCCTATTGTTATAGGTAGGAGAAATTCTAGTTGTTTTTCAAAGACGTAAGGAAATGGTCTAAACAGCCCTGTTCGACTATTTTTCAATTTGAAATCAAAACTTCCACTGATACGTCACTCATGATGACATCTCGATAGTTAACAGCTTACGTGTACTGGTACAATAATTTTCGACAGAACTGGACCACTTTAGTTTTTATTTTGCATTGATGTGAAGAAGCCATACTCATAACAGTGTACTTTTTAATATATGCATCGAAATACATTACTTCAGCTGTCAGTTAAGGCGATATGTCAGAGTTAGTTTTAGCTTTAACTCAACCTACCGTCTTCTTGTGTTTGTAGTCCTATTGTGTCGGTGATATTTCCCTCCCATGAGCTCGTAATTCCAAACACTTTGATTTTATAAGGCGTAAACGGTTTCAAAATGTTCAGGTTTACATCTGTCATTGATGAATTAACCGTATAATTAAAACTTTCTCCTCTCAACAAATCAAAGATTTCTACTCTGTATTCTAAGACGGGCTCGCCTAATTTAAAGGGGTCCAGTGGTTTCCATTGGAGACCGACTCCAGTGGAGCTTGGTTCAGAGGACGTGATATTAACTGGTTCAAGCTTGAAATCTAGAAAAAAAATATAACTGCATTAGTCTAAAGATGCAAAACATGCAAACTGGGAAGATGATCTCAGAAGTATTCCTTGGCGGGCACCCACGTGGTTGTACCAAGTCGTCGGCGTAAAGCCCTAGGGAACCATACGAGTACGGGCCGGGGGACTAGGGGGGGGGGGNTTTTGGGCAAATAGTTTTTAAAACGCTTCAATTTGTTTGGAGAAATTACAATGTAATCAGTATACAATAAGGTGAGACTCGACACTCAAACGTAGTGCTAGTCGACATTTTCTTTTAAGAAAATGTTAAAACACCCATTATTTTTTCGTGTCTTACATTGTCACCGAGACAAAAGCTTTATTTTTGAAAGCATAAGGTAAGATAAGAACTTTATTAAGGACGTTCGTGCTAATTGTTTCTGCGCATCTTGACTGTGCACGCAAATTCACTCGCCACGTCATGCATCGAGCGCGCTAAGTCATAAAATGAACATGAAAGGGCAGATGGCCATTGCTATAGCTTTTCCTGGATTTAACGACCTTGGACGTTCGGTGACTCCGAAATTTTCTTTTGATGGATCGCTTTCTCTACCGATTTTCTACGTTTAGCGAAAAAATGCAAAAACTCTAAGTTTTGTGAAAATTTCTACTCTCTTTCGATGAGATGTCAGTTTCTTGGGGGCCTTGACTCGCCACTCTCCCCTCTCCCGCGACCCAGCTAACATTAAAATGGCTAAAACCATTTATTTTCTTGCGCTGAGAGGCATTGTGAGAGTGAGGCGTCTTGTTCGAGATCTCATCACAACGACCCGGCTAGGGCTCGAACCCTGACCACTCAGCTAGAAGTGCAGGGCACTTATCCTTATTCCAAACCAAAGTCACTTTATATCAGTGCCCAGGTGGTATGCATAAAGGGCATCACCCATTCAATGCCACTTGCCACTGGCGGGCCTCCAAACACTTCCATTCTAGCTCCTTATTCCTTTTCTTTTTAGACTTTTTAGCCATTCTATGCAAAGCGGTTACTCTTGGTCTTCAAACAAGGCTCGTCTCCATTAGAAGCCAGGACAATGCTTTTCTAGGATCCTTTCCGAATATCTTTCGCCATTTGAATTGCCATCAGATTACATAATTGGCCAAACGTATGCTATGAATTGGTAATAATATCGTATTTTATATTACCGTATTCACAGGTGTAAAACTCCGCTCTCATAGACACGTAACCTTCCCAAGATCTTGGTAGTATCCGAATGTAGCGCGCCTTGATAGGCGGAGTAATTGCATTGTAAACAACAGTGTTACTATCCCAGTTGCCTTGAAAAATCTGCGAAGAAAGTAAAAGCGAAGATTTCCAGAAGTGGATCTAACTCTGGAAGTCAAACAAAGTCATGCGAGACATGGAACTACACTGGGGAGTATTCTTGCAACCAAACCCAGGCAGTTTATAAAGAACATTCCCGTTTCCGTGTTTGCGGGAGTGCAGATTCATCGTTAGTATGGTTTAAACTAAATAAGTAACTAAATAGGTTAATAACTAGGTTAATAACTAAGCAAGATTCTGTTCATCCTTGGGTTGACGAGTGATTAGACAACACTAACTTGGACATCCCATGGTCGAATTAGCGCCTAATGATGCATTACTGGCTTCGAGCACTTTCGAAGAACTGGCACATAAACGTTTTGAAAACACAAGCGAAGAGGATGTGATTCAAGAATTACTGCTTATACCAAACAATGACAGTTATGTAAAATTACCTTCACATTTCCAAACTGTTCATAAGCTTCAAAATCAATACCATCCTGACTATAATTCAACGAGTAAGTTTTCACCCACTGAAAGAAACGTAGTGAATCTAATAGTCTGCCTTGAGTTGCTACTTTGGTTACGGTAATTTTTTCTAGGAAATCAACCTGCAGCCAGGGCTGATCAAAGGGCTCATCAAAGTCACTGCCGTCAGCGCTCCAGGAGCCCGCGATGTAACTATTGTCTGGGTCAAAATTTAATCGACCGTTGCTAGCGGCATGAACGTCCCCAGCCCCAGCCTTGGAAGATGCACTAATTTGTGAGTTGGAAATGTTGTAGTTTTCCATACCAAGAGCCTGGCAACCTGTGAAGAATGAAAAAATCAAAGCGATAAGAAATTAGTATACTTAAACCGTTTTATGTCATGGCAACGTTTCCGAACATTTGTGAAAATATCCCAAGATTACCGACTGAGACATACCATGGATCAGGGTCGTGTAGGGGATTTTGGGAGGTACGGTACACAAGGAGAAGAGGGGTTAAATGGAATGTACGACATTTTCATTCGGCGAATATATTCGTACATAGTGTATTCAGCTAGAACACTCAATAAGCCATTAGTTCATGCTTTAATTAGCATGTGTCATTAAGTTATGATGCACGCAGAAAGTTTGGAGAGCACGAAAGAAACTTAAGAGTTGCATCTTGAGTCCTCTGTAAACTTTCCAAGTACATCATAAGTCAATGGTACACAGCTAAAAGAATGAATCAGTTGGAAATAATTTTATCTGGCGAAGAAAAGTTAACTTTGCTAATGCCTTGAACGTGCGTCGTTTGATTATGATGCACGTGCGCCTTTGCTCGCTTTTAATAGTAAATATTAAGCTGACAGTTTAAATTCCATTTGTTCATACGTTTGTAGACGACAAATAAAAGCTTGGCTGCGCTCACTCAATGACCTACCATCAATGTTAGTGATTGCTATTACTTCATCGCTGAAGTTCCCAAGTCCTTTAGAGGTGTAACCAGCAACTTTAATTTTGTAAGCTTTGGATTTTTCCAGCCCATCGATCTTTATTATTTGGTCACATCCATAAAAACGTTCGTCGATGTCATCGAGCATCGTTACATAACCCTGAAGAATGCCATTGGTATGGCTTTCTGGGATAGCTGCCCACGTGACCATTACACTCGAGTAGCTTGTACTATGGGCTACTACTACTGGCGGTGGTAGACTGGGAACTAGTATGAACAAATTGTGAAAGCAATAAGACGTATTTAAAAGGAATTATGTGTATTAATAGATGGCACATTAACCCTACTTCAAACAAAAAAAGGCAAAATAGCTCAATAAACGGGCAGGATGAACAAAATCCTGCGCTGTGATATCTTGCCCACTCGCAGACTACCCGCTGTGTCCCGCAAGAAAAATTTTCACGAAAGCCATACAATAAATCCCTTATTAACAGAATTATTCGGTCATGATAGCTCGATACTGGCCTTGTTGTTTTTTGTTTTTTGTTTTTTTGTTTTTTTCTTTTCTTGTTTATGGGCCTCGACTCCACCTCTGTCCATAAATACGCTTAGTCAATAACCCATATATTCAAAATGAATGACGATTTAACGCCTCAAAGGTCGTTTTAGTCCGAAATGGGTTTATAAATTCTGTTTTCTTGGCGAACAATAAACTAGACTTGACATGCTTGTTCTTTTTGTTCTGTTGTTACGCAAGGTGAAGTGACGATAGCATTAAAGAATAGTAGAGTGAACTGCTAACTGCAAGTCAATATTCCTCCCTACTTCTTTAGTGCTCATGTCATTTCCAGGAGTACATAATAGAACAAAGCGCGATTAAACCTTTTTTTTAAATTTGTTTAATTATAAAGTTTTCGTATTCGCGAGATATTAACTTAATACTAGTTTTACTTTCAAGTTGCCTGCGTGCTATGGTGTCAGAGATCATACGCAATAGTTTTGTTTTACAAATTGTTCTCGTCTGAACGACCTCGATAAAAACACACACCTCTTGAGGTCTCCTTATTAACTAAGTAAAAAAATCTGTGCTGCTTTAATGATGTAAGTTTTCTTTTGGTTTGCAAACAATGTTAGCCCCTTAATGATCTATCAAAACACGGTTGATGATGACGTGAGCAGTGGTAAGTTTCCTCCCGCTTTGTGCTCCTTCCTTCGTCGTTCATGTTCTCGCTCAATAACTGGCCTCTCCCAACATAAAACACTGTGGCGCTCTTTACTTTAAAGTCAATCAGACTCTTCACAATCACCGGCTTTGACTTTGCTGACAGATATTTCTTGTTCGCTACACCTCCATCTAGATATGTACGGCTAGTCTGTCTGGTGCAACGAAATATTTTGTGGCTGTACCATTCTATTGTGTTGCCTAGAGAAAGACGAATGGGATGGGGGCACAAAGCGCTGTTGACTCTGTATTAATCACGAGCAGTTGTTTTCCCTGCATGTATGTTGTTAATTAAATTTTACTTACCGCCATCTGGTGATCTGAGCACAATAAGTGGACTAGGTGGTCCTTCTCCTACGCTGTTAAACGCAGCAACTTTAACTTCATACAGTCCTCCCCTCCTTACGTTTTGTAGTTCTGCTGATAAATTGAAGGCATTCACGTTCATTTCTTGAGGGTTGCCACTATTCTGTTTCTCATACATGATGTGGTAACCTAGAATAACTCCAAGGCGATGCTCCAAGGGAAGTGGTTGCCAAGTGACGGTGAGTTTTTTGGTGTCGTTAAGAAAGCCGCTGACATTTAATGGAGGAGACGTGGGAACTAAAAATGAATCGGTACGAATTATAAAGAATGTATTTGTTAGTATAGTCCTCGAGGATTACGTCACCAAACTAACCTGTTTACCCAGGATCATTATCACGCTAAAACTATTGGCGGCGGTAGATTGGGCACAAGTAACGTGATAAAAGGCGTGTACAAAATTATGACTGTAAATCGTACTTGTAGCCAAGCATCCTGAGCGCAATACCCCTTTAAAACTAAGGCAATTTGAGTGAAAGGTGATAGGTGGGTGGAATGATAGACTTTGAAAGAATGAGGAGTGGTTCTTTTTGCATACAACACTATTCGTTTGCATTTTTTGCATGTTCTGTTCTTCATTCATGAATAGGCTAATGATAGTGCCTCTAGTTCCAGCAGAATTGTTTAGCATGTCCAAAAAACCAATATGTAGTAGTCTTGCGAAGCGTGATCATAAATTGTACAGGGCTTATATTTTCCTTTGTAGTTTTCTTCAGACTCTCACTTTCCAGCTTTACGACCTGCACTTTGTCGTAAAACAAATCGGAATATAAGATTTTTGAACAAGATAACGCGTTTCCGTTACTCACTGTCTTCTGCTGTTCTAACCAGAACTTCGTCACTTTCCTTCCCTTCTCCCTCCAGGGTGAAGGACTTCACGCTTATGGCGTACACCGCATACTTCATGAGGTCTATTAGCTCATATCCTGGTATCCTTGATGCAACCCTGACGCCGAACTTCTGTGACGAATCGTTCAAGCGATATAAAATCTCAACCCCGCAGAAAACTCCGTGAGTTAAGTCTCCGGGTTCATCCCATGAGACTGCCACCGATGTAGAGCTTGTGTTGTGTGCATAGACCTGGAGCGGCTTAATGTAGACTGTTTCAAAAGATAACCAGCAATCAGACACGCGAGTGGAAATAGAAACATTACAAAGAACAAAAACAAAAGGTGTTCTAACAGAAATTTCTGTGCTATGTCGTCACCCAAATGCGAGCAATCCATTCTTTCCAGCGACCTCTTTCCCGTACAAATTCATTTGATAAATCTCACTCTAGATCTTAAACTTGACTCTTCTGAACGTTCGTATTGTTGGTAAGATAAGTATAACTTTTACTTTTCTTCTTGCACTAATTTTTGGTTCATTGCCTTAATGGGTGATCGTTTCGTTTTAGTGCTGATGTTGTTAAAAGTAGTTGTACAATGGAGTACCCATTTCTCGAACCCTCATGTTTTCAAACCTCCCGATAACTCGTACTAAAAGTCGTTTCCCCTCTTCAGTCGAACACTGTAATCTTACCCCCGATTTCTCGAACTATCCAATTTTCGTTTCCCTTGGAGGTTCGAAAAATCGGGATTCCACTGTATACCTGGTTCTGAAAGTTTCAATGTTATTCTGTATTTCAATTTTTGAATTCGGCTAAGCATCTTCTGATAGCTTGTCCGCAGAAGCTCTCGAATGACCAAACCAAAAAGGTTATATGACTACTTTGTAGTAAGAAACTAACCGTCATTAGCTTCCATGGCAACCAGTCTAATCGGGGTACTACCCAGCATGCTTCTTGACTCGATGCTTCTTTCAAGTGGTTCGATTTGTTTGTACCCAGTCTCTTTGAATCGCACAGTGAAGTTCACTGCTACATTCGTGAGGTTCCTGAAACAATTATGCAACAAATTTTCTCGATACATTCTCAATTGTTAAAACACCTCTCGATGACCTGAGTCAATATTCAATATTCTTTTCAGATCCACTTCAGACTATGGCCCGTTTTCTCGTTGGCCAATAATTTAAGACGAGTCGGTGTATAGGGTGCAAAATAAGCCAATTGTCGAAGATGTATCACCCCGAAAGTCATTGTCACTAGCCACCC